CCAGCTACTCGGAGGCTGGGCAGAAGGATTGCTGAGCCAGGAGATTGAGGTTGCTGTGAGCCAGGCTGACTCCACGGCACTTACTCTAGCCTGGGCAACAAAGTGAGACTCTGTCTCAAAAACAAAAAAAAAAAAAAGAAACAAAAAAAAAAAAACTCAAAGAAACAGGGAGTGCAATAGAGGTTGATAGGGTCAGGGGAGGGTAGTATGGGATGGGAAGATGTGGTTAAAGGGTACAATAAAAAGTTTTTAACAAACTGATGAAAGATGAAAAAAAGAAAGAATGCAGTGACATAGACTAAAAGTTAGTGTTCCCCCCCCAAATTCATATGTTGAAACCTAAAACCCAGTGTGATAGTATTTCGTGTTGGGGTTTCAGGAAGTGATTAGGTCATGAGATTGGAGCTCTCAGATACTGAATCTGCTGGCATTTTGGTCTTGGACTTCCCAGCCTCCAAAACTGTGAGAAATAAGTTTCTGTTGTTTATAAGCTACACAGTTTATGATAATTTTTATAGCTGCTCAAGGTGTTACAGCTGCTGATATATATATATAGCTGATAATTTGCTATAGCTGCTCAAGGTGACTAAGACCTGAAAGAAAGACCTGAAAGAAAGTTTGGGGGTGGAAAAAAACCCCAAACTTTAAAAACTTAAATCTCTAAGAAACACTTACATTCAAAATTTAAAAAAGGATCTTCTTTAAAAGGAATTAAGAGGATAAAAGAACTTGGAAATTAAAAAATATGATAGGGAAAATGTTTAAAACCAATAGAAGAATGGATAAAATATATAATTAGAAGGAAAAAGTTCTAGTATTTGATAGTACAGTAGGGAAATTTTTTTGAGACAGAGTCTCGCTCTCTTGCCTGGGCTAGAGTGCCGTGGCATCAGCCTAGCTCACAGCAACCTCAAACTCCTGGGCTCAAGCAATCCTCCTGTCTCAGCCTCCTGGGTAGCTGGGACTACAGGCACACACCACTATGCTTGGCTAATTTTTTTTTTTCTATTTTAATACACTTGCCATTCACTGGTACCTTACTTTGCATGTCATTCCTTTAATGCTGTGTCTGTGGAGTAAATAAAAGGGAGGATGTTCATGACTGACATCAGTTCTTTGCTTCTTGGCTAAAGTTGTAATCATTTCATTACTTTTCTCTTTCCTGAACACATACAAACATACAAGTTAGCATTCCCTTAAACTTACAAGCAAATACTTCCATAATATATATGTCTCAAGTTTAAACCTCTACATTTCAACCTATCTATCAAATCTTAATCTACAATAAGATAATTTATTCCAGATATTTTCACTGTTCTTCACTCATGTAATTTTAATATTTAACTCTTGGATGAGTTAGAACTTCCTTTCCACCTTCTTAAACTTCAAGTCACGACTCTATTTCCAGTCCTATGGAAGTCATTTATGAATTCTGGCCAATCACTTCAAGATTCATTATTGTTAATACCACACTAATCAGAGCTTGATTAAATTCTGTCATTTTGTCCTTCTTGCTTCATGTATGTAGTCTTTCATGCATGTAACCCTTCTCCCCAATTATACTGTAAGTTCTTGAGGATAATGTCCTTCATTTTATGCCTCTACTCCCACAATACCAATATTGGATATATAGTGGGTTTTCAGTGAACACAAAGAAAACACCACCAAAAAATCTCAAAAGCTTGATACAAAACTGACAAAGGTACAAGTATGGTCTCATTGCTACTTTCTCACCACGGTACTTAGTCTTCCATTTTAAGTGAAAGGAGGATAGCAATTACTATAAACTACCATGTGAGAGTTGTAATTATTCCTACTAGTTTGAGCCAGGGCTTCATGAAGCAAACCTGAGCAAAACCCTGCAGATGTTCATGAAAATCTTATTTGTTGATTTCTTATTGTTACAATAATATTGACAAATATTCTAAAAACGTGGATTAAATAACGGAAGTCAACATATTTATTTCACTAAATTAGAAAGGATTGTTTTGTTTTTGACGTTTTTATTCTATTTCATAATAAAACACCATGGCCTGAAGAATTTTTTCTTTTTAGTGTGGCAGTCAATGTGCTAGCCAGTAAGATTCTAAAATATATCCTTCTAAAAATCACAAAGTGATTCTAGGAATGTATCCTTCTAAAAATCACAAAATAATTGAGATATCCAATATTATAATGAGATTTGCCTGAATGTTCACACCCTTGATTATTTATATGTGATACTATGGTCAAATTTTATTTATTCAGGAAAAGCAATTAGCATTTGCTTAAGCAGAAGTATTCAGAAGGCAAATTCGTGCATGAAATGATTAATTACATTCAAAAATAAATATAATTACTGTTGAATTGGTACCTTTTTACATAAATAAAAACCAAAAATGTCAACTTGGGACATATCCATTAAGTCAGATAAAATTTGACTATACCCTTGCATGAAGTCTAACAAGACACTCAGTGAAAGGCTATATACCCAGATTTAGTAAAAGGTCTAGGAAAGTCTGAGACAAAAATGTCTGACATAATACCTTAATAGTGACTATCGTCAGCAGTATGGATTTTTTTGCTTGGTATTTTCTATCATGGAAGATTTTATGTGTTGATAGACCAGTCAAGAATAATCACATAATGTTACAGTTATAGAAGAGCCCATGGAGATTAGTCTAATTTTTAATTATATATAAGAAAGGCTCAGAAATTTTAAATAATTTAAAACTTATTTATGTTTACTTTATTCTAAAAAGAATTTAAGACAATTCTGCTGAAGGTGAGGACCTAGCTGTGGTTACATAACTAATAACACAATGAATAGAATGAAGCCTCTAAATCTGTGCTCTTTATAATACATCATAATGCCCTCTTTATTTTTTCCCACCAGAGAACTAAGTGAGATATATCATTTTAAGTGATTTGGATGTTAACAAACTAGTTGAAGATGCGACATGAACAAAACTGCTGGAAAGAGCATACAGTAATTAAACCATATACTATTAACAAGAGTTTAAGATTCCTTCTCTTTGAATGTCAACACTAAACTGTTAAGCAACAAATACAAAATTACAGCTCGTAATTACAGGTCACTACTTTTTCAACTTTAACATTGTCTATATTCTTTTTACCGTATTAAAAACACATGTGAAATCTAAAGTGTTTTTTTTTTGAGACAGAGAATCTCACTCTGTTGCCCGGGCTAGAGTGCCATGGCATCAGCCTAGTTCACAGCAACCTCAAAACTCCTGGGCTCATGTGATCTTTCGCCTCAGCCTCCCGAGTAGCTGGGACTATAGGCATGTGCCACCATGCCTGGCTGATTTTTAGTTGTCCAGCTAATTTCTTTCTATTTTTTTTCAGTAAGACAGGGTCTCGATCTTGCTCAGGCTGGCCTTGAACTCCTGAGCTCAAATGATCTGCCCGCCTCAGCCTCCCAGAGTGCTAGGATTACAGGTATGATAAAGTTGTTTTTAAAAATAAAACAAAACCTTAGACATTAAGGTACTGAGAATCGTAACACCTTTTGATATGAATGCAATGTCTAATACAACTATATTTCAAAGTATATGCATATCCTAAATAAAAAAGGTCATATAAATCTTATGGCTGAGAATAGAGTCTTCTGGTTAATCAAATGGAATTGCTATAAATCATATATTGATGAGCATTTTTTTTTTTTTTTTGAGACAGAGTCTCACTTTGTTGCCCAGGCTAGAGTAAGTGCCGTGGAGTCAGCCTGGCTCACAGCAACCTCAATCTCCTGGGCTCAGCAATCCTTCTGCCTCAGCCTCCCGAGTAGCTGGGACTACAGGCATGTGCCACCATGCCGGGCTAATTTTTTGTATAGTAG